CTGCGATAAAATTGGCCGATACGATAGTCACTTAATACTCTAATATCGTCCGGCCGATATTATCGATAGGGCTGTTATTCTTAATCACATATACGGTCCACAACAAACATAATCGTTATATTTTGGTTCTCTAAAAAAGCCTTTCCCAAACTTAAGACTGCCGCGGCCCGCTTTCAAATACAAAATTGCCCATTATAAAAAAAATGTTATGAGTACATCTATAACTTTCAGTAAGGGTAAAATTATTAGACATGACAACATGACATTATGGCAAGAGAGACACAAAGTTAATAAACTTTATGTCCATGAATAGTCATGACACGCCTTACTAATCACTCAAAGGGTTGACTCATGGTGAATTATCATTATTGTGATATTTCTTTTAAATATGGAGGGCTTTTCGCGGCCCACCAGGGGGAACATTTTGGGAAGCACTACTCTAAAAGTTCTTCTTCATCCGAACAATCCCCGTCCTCTTTCTACCACATTAGATTCAGACCTCTGACATCAACCTCCGACTTACCTCCAAAACTAGAAAGGTTGTTTTTGAAGTCCTGTGTTTTCACCTCCCTGGTGGAATCTTGTGTTTCCCTTTAGGGATGCACTCACTTAACCTTCAGGTGCCTCAGTCACACTTGGAACCCCCCCCCCTGTGCTTTCACTCTCACAAAACACACACACACACACACACACACACACACACACACACACACACACACACACACACACACACACTCTCTATCCTCCAAAACACATGCACATGTAACATATGTAAAGATGGCCGTCCTTAAGTGGACAAAGCCCCGGGCTCTTCCTCTTGATGCGTCTAATGGGATCAGCTGATTGACAGCCACAGTCATCCCCTTTGACCTAACACGACACTGTGTGTGTGACACACACATCATGGGACGGACACGATGTGTTTGAGGGGAATCAAAACCCTGACGGAGTTCTGATCATCACAGAGGACTGTGTCAGCTCTCAGGGTCGGGGTCAGGGTCAAGGTTGGGTTCAAGGGAAATGCATGTTTTGGTCATGTCTTATTCACGTTATTGATGTTCTTTACGGCTATAAGAGCATGTGGCTACTCTGGAAAAGCACAGGGGCTATTCTTATTGAATTATTCATCAGGGATGTTGTCAGGTCTCCTTCTATTTCATTCAACAATTGGAAAAATACTTAAGACATGGCTTGTGCTCTAACCCTAACCCATGTGCAAATATTGATTAAGATGATACTGTTTTTGGAGCTCTAAAGAGTCACACATGCAGCTCCTCCTGGAGAGTTTTTCAGGAGATTTCTGCGAGTGTGAAAGCACTAACAGGTTCTCGGAATCGCCCGATCCATGCATTTTACATAATGTCTGTTTTTCTGAGGTTTTCAGGTGATTCATTGGGCTGTTGAAATGAATAATTTAATCGAGACTAGAAGATTAATGCATCGATGCAGGGACAGGACGTAATCGATGCTGACGAGGATTAGAAAAAAGCATCTGCTAACTGTTAAATGTGGTTATTTTGCGCAGCGTTGAGTGAGTTTGTGGTGTGTGATGAAAGTAACGTAGGCTAACAGAGGGATTTGTGACAGAAAACAACATCAACTGAGTCCCGGTCCTGGTCTTGCTGACTTTATGAGCAGAGTCAGCTGGTCCTGCAGGCTCAGACCACAGTGCTCCGCTGCAGGCTGAAACGACTTGACTCGGTGTCTCTTTAGCCGACCGCAGCTCGGGTTAGCATCTTCATCACAGCTAAAGGTTTAAACTGATGCCTCGCTGTCTTAAGTCACAAAAACATATTCTTACTACCTATACTGTAGGCTACCTCTATAATGTATTAATTTTAACTTACAATGTAAAGATATTGATCATGACATTGTTGTCTAAAGCAGGGATTCCCAAACTTTTCAGCTCGCATCCCCCAAAGTAACGTTGCTAGCAGCTGGGGACCCCCATTGTCCTTGGAAGTGGTTAAAACATTTAATCATGCGCACAGCCAGGCACCCTTTTGTGCCTATCCAAATAGTGGCATTAGAACATCTCTTGAATTCCTTTTTTGTATATACCTTCACAATAAAGGCTAAGATATGCTATCTTAAATTTTTACATGTTTTTCGAAAGAATCTCGCGACCCCCCTCTTACTGTCTCAAGACTCCCCAGTAGGTCTCGACCCCCACTTTGGGAACCACTGGTCTGAAGCACTTTTTATATTATACAAAATGAGTTCATATTTCTAAGACTGTTTGTCTCTGCTTATGAAAAAGTATTCATGTGCAGTAAAATAGAAAATTGTGGATGAATCGTGATGCATCGTGATATCGAATTGTTGACTGATAATCGTAATCGAATCGTGAGACGAGTGAAGATGCACAGCTCTAGTAAACATGTGTCAGTGCTGTTGCATAATCGCACACTGACATGGCTTCTGTGTATTATATATCGGCATTTAAAAGTTACAAACATACAAACCCATACTGGTTTAACTGTGCTCAAATAATTTTTCCTTTCCAGACTGTTCATAGTCTTTTAATGTCCTTTATGTTATTTTATTCCCTTTTGGTTTAAACCATTATAGTGATGCTTAGTGTTTGATTTTTTTTCGTATCGTGTGGTATATCGTATAATCCTATTTGTGAAAGCGATACATATCATACACTCTATAAATCATAGCAACAGCCTTCCAGAAAACATTTGTGTTTTTTATTTGCCTGTGTGCGGCTGATTAGAAGAATTCCCTGGCTGGCCCGAGGTTCCCCGGGTCAGCTGGTGTATGTTACAGCTGATGGCTCCACTGCGATGATGGACGAGGCCACAAGCCAGTAGCTCCCCTCCCCCCCTCCCACGCCCCACCGCCCTCCCCCAAATCATCACCACCACCACCCCAGCACACTCTTCCCCCTTGAACACGCCTCTCTGTGGTGACATCACCACCAAACTGGCTGACAGCTGAGGGCACACACCGGGGGCCTCCTGTGTCAGTGCGTGGCCCCCCACACAGCCGCCCGCCTGTCAGCCAGTGTCAACTCTTCATCCACATGCACACTAATGGAGCACCTCGCTGGAAGAGTGTAGCATGGTCCACCATACAGAAATACTTTTCTTAAATATAATACTGTATATTCTCGGGCGTCTCGCTTGCAGCCGGGTGTTAATTCAGTCATGACACGGAACAGGACTGAAGAGTAATTGATTGTCGAGCCATCTGTCTGTCATTGCACTTATAGTAACCTTGATTCTCTGAAGGCAGATCTTTTTTTAGTCTCCATGAATAAATCGGGGGCAGAATTACTGGAATGGATTCAAAGAAAATAAACATCTATAAATATGGACAAATGTTTAAATACTGCTGTTTCCCCGTTCTCGTTTTAAAGGCCAGCCTCCACAAAGAGCATTTTTTTATTTTATTTTATTTTTTAACCAATGTAGTTCAACAAATGCCCTCTGCACTCACAGTGCTCTCAGTTGAAGCAGAACAACTTTTCCCATGCTCTTCAATGTCACTTCTCCCACACCGACAAATCAAAATCAAGACAGGGCCGGACTTCCACCATCAGCTCAACGAGCTAATCTGACTCGTCATTGTGAGGGAACAAACTCCAGGTGTAGAGCTGCTAATGCCAGGACATGACTCCTTTAAATTGTGTTTATGTTTTCTTGAATAACAGAAAATATAAGCACACTGAGCTATCTCGAACTCACCTAACGGACGCTAAAGAGGGAAGGACATGCTAACTTTGGTAGCCTAGCACATGGTGAGAAATCAAATCAAATGTAATCGTTTATTTGTATAGCACATTTAAAAACAGCTTCATCTGACCAAAGTGCTTTACAGGCAATGCATAAAAAGAAAGAAATAGAAAATTAATCTATACATATGCATCTATATATATATATATATATGTATGCAGCATACATACATATTACAAACACATACATGCACCTTCATACATACAGATACATACCTAAGCTAAATATATGGGGTTTGTTTCAACTTGTTTTAAATGCCAGGGAAAAAAGGTGAGTTTTGAGTTTTGATGTGAAGCACTTTGAAACTCAGTTTGTGGGCGCTGCCAGCACAAAAAGCGCCCTCTGTGGACACAGACCCTCTGTGGACACAGGCCCTCTGTGGACACAGACCCTCTGTGGACACAGGCCCTCTGTGGACACAGGCCCTCTGTGGACACAGGCCCTCTGTGGACACAGACCCTCTGTGGACACAGGCCCTCTGTGGACACAGGCCCTCTGTGGACACAGACCCTCTGTGGACACAGGCCCTCTGTGGACACAGACCCTCTGTGGACACAGGCCCTCTGTGGACACAGACCCTCTGTGGACACAGGCCCTCTGTGTTTCTTGCAGTGCAATTTGGATCAAATAGTCCATATGTATGTATGTGTGTGTGTGTGTGTGTATATATATATATATATATCAACTGGTTGCACATCTATTAAACCACTACATGACACATTAAGCACATGCACACACAAATCTTGGACTCTGACAGCAGGTCAGGAATTTTAAATGGATCCACATCCTGCAGCAGTGAACCCATCGGCCTTGTGTATGTGCTTGTATCAATATAATATTACACTTGTAGAAATGTACACGCAGCTAGGTTACAGGATGCAGTATTTATAAGACCCTGGAACGCGGCTCTGTGTTGGCAGGGTGGTGGGCATCAAACTCCGTTGACAACTCGTGGTAGTCCATCAGAAAGTGCTGCTGGGTGGCAGACATGCAGAGATCATATTATCATAACCACACATGGCTTACAGTGGGATATTAAACTGTGGTAACTCCCTTGTTAAATCTGATGTTTAGCATGGCACCGCTGTCTCCTGTAAGAGCGCCGGAGCAGTGGGAGTCAGAAGATGAGCCCCAGGGGAGGGGGGACACGGGATGGCAGGGGGAACAGGCACTGTCAATAATAAGATTTATTATCCATCGACTCGTCCCAGGGAGGGGGCAGACGGAGACCGCTGTTCACTGAATTAGCCGTCAGGTATGGAGAAGGAGATCACTGGGGGGATCGCTAAGAGGCTGGAGAAGGGGGGTGGGGGTGGGGGTGGGGGTGGGTGTGGGGGTGGTGCTATGCCCTGTCAGTAGACCCCAGTCAGAGGGCTGAGGGTAGAGAGATAGAAAAGCTCTGTAGCAGCAGACAACTTTATCCAAAGTCTAGTCCACATCAGTGAGACGAGGCTCAGTCGTCTTAAAGGATGTGACTCTAGTTCAACACCTCCAGATCCACTTATGTGTGCTGGAACATTTATGCTGATAATGCAGCATCTACATCAGTGATTTGTCACAACTTTGAGTGGCGTCCTCAGCTGGACTTCCATGTATCCTCTTATATCACAGAGAGGATATAAAAAAAGAACCTTTGATTTGCTTTGAAGAGTTGGTTTTTCCAAAAGTTTCACTGAGAGGGCTCCAGGCCTTCAAGGATGTCGTAGTTTTGGGGCGCTGGTGGCGCGGTGGGTGGTGCGCGCGCCCAATGTGTGGAGGCTGTGGTCCTCCGGGCGGGCGGCCCGGGTTCGAATCCAGCCCGTGGCTCCTTTCCTGCATGTCATTCCCTACTCTCTCTCTCCCGCTGATTTCCGACTCTATCCACTGTCCTCTCTCTCCATTAAAGGCCCAAAAATAAAACCCAAGAATGTCGTTGTTTTATTTTCCCGGTTTCTGAGATGCCCTTTACATTTTTGGCTCTGCTCCTTTTAAAATGCAGTTGAATATAACTTGATTCACTTTTTTTTTTTTTTTTACAGAATTAAGCCATCATTTTTAATGCTGATAATTTAAAGGCTCCTGTTTCCTTAGAATCCTGGAATTCCTCCCAAAATTCAATGTTTTCATTTTTTTTTTAAAACGAAGAAAGCTATTTGAATAAGTCACTTGAGCTTTTAAAAATTTAAATTGCAATTGGTAACATCTGCATGCTGATCTGTTGAGGGGCTGATGCCTTCAGGCGCTACCTCTGTGAGAGGAGCTAAATGTTTGCAACATACAAGTCAAAGACAAATCTAAATTCTGCCATGTCGTCCTGCCATCCTGTTAGGCTTGTGGGAGACTAGCTGACTAAAGGGTTAACGTTGTCACCCTCATTAGTTGGCACCTGAATGACCAGTTGCTTATTAATATTTTTGTTATTTCTGGTCCACAATGCCGGTCACATGTTGTGTCTAAGCTGTAACGCAGACACCCACCACTAGGACAACAAGGACAGCAAATATAAAAAAACAGGCAGGTCATAGAATAATAAACAGCAAGATTAAGGAATAAAAATCACTTTTAAAAGAACTGTAAAATACATACAATTATTTTAAAGGAATTCTAAAAAGTGAAAATAGTAACAATTTAAAATAAAAAAAAATCAGGAAAGGCTCAGTGGAAAAAGTGTGTCTCAAGAAGGGACTTTAAAGAGATGACTGATTGTGCCGACCTGATCTCCTCGGGCAGGTCGTTCCAGAGTCTTAGTCAGGTAATGCTTTCTGTGTAGGCTGTGGCAGGTTAACCCGGCATATAACCACTCGACCGGAGCAATGCACAACACACATCCAGTAGAGGTTCTTAAGTTTTCCTACAATTCTACAGTTCACTAAGCGACGTTTATCCAAAGCGACGTACATCAGAGAGTAAGAACAACACAAGCAAGGATCTAGAAAAAAGGGAACAATGTGAGTAAGAGCAAACGATCAGCTTTGAGTCTGATTGGACACACAGGTGCTGACAGGAAGTGACCAGAGGCAAAGCACAACATTGAGGGCAGTTCTTGAGAGCTCTAATCAGTATAGAAACCATCTTATAAGTCGTCGTTATCAAACAAAAACCATCGTCACTACCATCATCATCATCAATAATCTGGAGTAGATTATCTGTAGCAGCAGCGAGTCAGAGGGAGATAGATGGACGGCGTGCGAGCTGCATGCGTTTTACAAACGGTGTCTTCACAGCTTCGCAGGGCAACACTGTGCTCGCTCCCCCACACACTGCAAAGGCAGGCCACTGTCAAAGGTCTATTAGGGGGAAGATTGAGACCCCAGGTGTATATGTGTGTGAGTGTGTGTGTGTGTGTGTGTGCTCACATGCTCATTGGTCATGGGGCCCACAGTGGAAGATTGAGACCCCATTGCTCCCAGAGCCACTCAACCAACACAACCTGCAGTGGTTTACAATCAGAGCAACAGCGTCCATCCATCCCTGCTGACACACACACACACACACACACACACACAGGAATACACACCAACAATACAGCTCACTATAGATGTCATTTAACAGGAGCTGGGGTGGAACAGCTGTGTGACAATGTTGTGGACACGGCAGGTGTCAAGATGTTGAAGCGAGAGGGTTTAGAGGCAGATTGAGGTGCAGGTTAGAGATGCTGGGGTGCGAGGGGGGGGGGGTTGGGAGTTGCGTTTACAAGGTGGGAGGTAGAGAATCGAGGCAACACCTTTGACAAGCCCTATTTGTCATCTGCCAGGACGCCCAAATAGCTCTGACTGCAATACAGATGGATTGTGGGAGAAAAAGTGACTTCAAGCCGGGCAACTAATACAAACCTCCTCGCTCCCTCCACCTGTACACTCTCCTCCTTCTTACTCCCTTGCACACTTGTTAGCATACCTTTCCCACTGTCAGAAAGGACCGGGATGTTGTTGCAGGTACCCTGATACAGGACTTAAAACATATCCATTAATAGCTTGAACCTTCATATATGTGAACGATGTTTACTATTAAGTGAACGTCTGTAATAAACAGAATCAGAATCAGAAATACTTTATTAATCCCAGGGGGAAATTTGTTTGCTACAGTTGCTCATAAAACCAAAAATCAGTAGGAAGTACAGATAAGTTCACAAAATAAAAATAGTATAACAATATAATAAGCATAAGTACCAAGTGAAAGCAATAATAGTATAGGTAAAAAAGTAGTATAGGTAATAAGCTGTGTTCAAGCGCAGGTAATTGAGAATATAAACAATATTTACAAATATGAATCTACACTGATGGATTAACAGCGTAGATATTGCACGGTTCATGTATAGATAGCACTTCTGATGTATCAATATTGTCCAGTTTTCAGCAGATTGCACAGTTTTAGTAGAGAAATAGTCATGGTTAGCTTTCTGTGTGTGTCCTCGACGTGCAGCCAGCACTCTGGTGGGGCGCCTTGCTCGCAGTGATTTGTTCAGCGGTAACTGTTTGTCTGAGATGAATTCTCCAGCTGATCCAGAGCTGCATCCCGGCTGACAAATGAAAGCAGCGCCTGGGGAGGGGGGGGGAATGAGAGGGAGTAGAAGTGTGTAGAAGTGGAAATCGAATCATTTTATTGTTTGTCACTGCGGCCCTTGTGGTCACGGTTTGGTTATTGGATGCTAATTAAAACGGCAACAATCCTGACAATTGGCAATTAAAGACTTGTGAGAGAGGTGATAGGAAATGAGCTCCTCTCTGCGGGTATATAAACTCATTTGTTATCCCTCTTTCACACCTCTCTTCACTCTGTCTTTTCCTCACTCATTAGGAAGACAGAGTGCTGTCGCTGACCACCTCTGTGAATGATTGGTTGGAGGGGGAGGGAGCGCTGATAATGACATGCAAGACAGTTGTTTCTTCTTCTGGTGGAATAATAGAAATGGATAGAGTGAGAAGCTGATTCATGTTGCATTAAACCTTGTTTTTCAGGCTTCAGTAGTGTACGTCTTTTTTCTTTTTTATGAAGAAAAGCTTGTGTTTTTATTTCATCCATTTTTAGGAGACCGACTTAAAGTCTTTCTATGTGATTCTTCTCACTTAAATGTAGAAATCAAGAATATCCTCTGAAAATAACTCTGTGAGTCATGACTGTCTACAATGGGTGTAACACCCGAGTCCCACTGTCTGTGATGTTCTCAGAGTTTTCAGAGTCCTATCTTCACTTTGTTTACATCGCCAGGACGGCCGGCTGACTCCTCCCCTCAAGTATAAAAGTTGTTTAATTGAGGGACTAGAGAAAAGAAGAATAACATACTGCACTCACTTTAAGGACAACTTTACCTTTTTCTTTTTTTTCTCCCATCATGTTTGACCTCAGCAAAGAGGATGTAGTGTTTGATTTGGGTTTAAAACTTAAAGGCAGGGTTGGTCATTTTCGAAAAACTAGCATGATTTTGAAAGTAGCATTCCCTCAGTGCTACGTCTGCACCCCCACCCCCTCCCCTCTGTGCCCCTCATAAGCCACGCCCCCTCAGCTCATCTCTTGCATTGTGTAGAAACTACGTCGTCTCATGTCTCATTCAGTAAACTCTCAGTATAAACTCCTAAAGTCATCGGTGACGCTCTCTGAGTGTGAGCTACAAGAGGTAGAGAACGAGCAGAGAGACAGGGAGGCGTCTGATTGGTTCATCAGATTGGTACCTCGTGGCAGACATTGGTTGAAGTTTTTACAGACTTACAAACTGATACAGATGATGGATTCTATTTGTTCCTTTTTCAGAGAACATGAGTTATTAATTTCTGTCAGGACATGAAGACAATTTACACCAACATCTTAAAAAAATGGATCTGGAAGAAAATTAACAACCCCGCCTTTAAAGTGACCAAAGACTTACACGACCCTCGATGCAAATCCTCCTCTCAGCCAGCGCAGGCCGTCATAAAACAACGTGATGGATACACAGCTCAAATAAATAAATAAATACACTCAGTCCTCTCTTTTTTTCTTTCCCCGATCTCTCGACTCTTACGCCTCTACTCTGATGGATCTGTGAAATGATATAACGAATGAGACTTATAGTGGGGGGGGGGGGGGGGGGAGCAGGCAGGAGGGATGAGGGCAGCGAGGAAACAGACAGAGGATGTGATTTATTAGGCTCATAAAAATTCTGCCTTTGTTATTCCCTCTCATTTTTATATGTGAAGCTTATTAAAGAGCACACCTGCCAGAGTCCTCACACAAACTCCTGACTGTGTGTGTGTGTGTGTGTGTGTGTGTGTGTGTGTGTGTGTGTGTGTGTGTGTGTGTGTGTGTGTGTGTGTGTGTGTGTGTGTGTGTGTGTGTGTGTGTGTGTGTGTGTGTGTGTGTGTGTGTGTGGTGTGTGTGGTAAAAATGGGTTAATTATTTAAAATGATCAGATTTTCACACCGATCTGTCCCTGCTCTCCTTTAGGCCATGTCGCCTCCTCCTCCTCCTCCTCCTCCTCCTCCTCCTCCTCCTCCTCCAATCGCAGCCCCACATATCAGCGGGTGTTCAGGACACGCTACAAGATGGTGACCCGTCCAGGCTCCAGCACCGCGCACATATCCCACTATAACCCCGCCCTCACATGGCGAGCCAAGAGGATCCAGACTGCCAGGTACACACACACACACACACACACACACACACACACACACACACACACAGACACACACAGCTCGTGCATGTCTGACTTTAATGTGCCTCAGTGGGGGTAACATTCTTCAGTGCAGCGCGGCGCCCTTTTATGTCACCGTCATGTGCAGCACGAGTGGAAGAGGTCGGGAATTTATGGTGCTCATTTTTACACAGTAGATAACCCAGAGAATAAACCATTTACACCACTGAGCTGCTCACATTAATTTCCTGCAGAAGGGGAAAGCTCCTCACTCAGGACACATGCACAGAAAGAGAAACGGGTTGGTTGGTCGGTCTTTTTTTCTTAATGTCATTACAACTCCTCCCTCTTCTTTCCCCGTGTTTGTTCATCTTTCAAACGTCAATCCCCTCGCACTCGGTCGTTCACATTTATTCTCACAGGGGCCGCAGGATATGACGAAACAAATGCAATGTGCAATAACACTGGTAAATAATTCAATAATGAAGTGTGAAGGTTTAGTCAAGTTGGGATTCATTTTGATATTTTAATGTACAAATTCTAACAATATCTACATATTGTACGTTTGACAAAGACAAACTTTAATTTGAGCTAATCAGGTAATTCTGTTCCTGTTTAACTGAAGTTCAGAGCAGCGTTAACGGGTACAATGTGGATAGATTTGAGTTTTTAAGAGGCCTTGATGACTAAGAAACTTCATGATGATTCACATGTCCGTATTGAAAATCTGCAAATAATGGAAGTTTTGTCGTACATTACCATCACAAACTTTTATCCCCGTCATCCCTGGCGTCCAACCCCTGATTTGTCATTGGCTGGGAGAAACCCAGAACCATCCTGAGTCAACCAGAACAGTAAAATCCAGTCATAGGACGGGCGTCTCTGCAGACTCAGTCAGCACCACCTCACATGTACGGAGGCCCAGAAGGGACGGTTGAGCTGTGCATGTTGAAAATAAATGAAACATTGAACACAGATAATTAACCTTTAACAAATGAGTAGAGGTGTACCCAGCTCTGTTAGAGAGTGAGAACCTTCGAGTGCAAACCCCCCCCTCCCCCCCAACGCAGAATAACTAACACACAATAACAAGAAGTTCAGAAATCTGATGTTTAATGTCCAAAAATATGTCTTCAACTTACTCTTCTACTTTTGTTTAAAACTGAAGCACTTTGTTCTTATCTGTGTGTGTGTGTGTGTGTGTGTGTGTGTGTGTGTGTGTGTGTGTGTGTGTGTGTGTGTGTGTGTGTGTGTGTGTGTGTGTGTGTGTGTGTGTGTGTGTGTGTGTGTGTGTGTGTGTGTGTGTGTGTGTGTGTGTGTGTGTGTGTGTGTGTGTGTGTTGGTGATGGGGGTTCATTTGTGTAATCCAGATTTGGTGAGACAGAGGGGGGGGGCCTGTGTGGTGACTGGACTCTTGTGACTTATTACTATTCATTTAGCTGCTGCAGTAAATATTGATTCATCAAGGGATTTTCAATTTGAGCCCCGTGACATCTCGTGAAATATCACCAAGTGTGTAGAAGTAAGGGAAGAGATAGGGAGGGAGGGGGGGGGGCAGGTCGAGTCCCCTGGGATAGTTGATTACCCCCCCACCACCTCCCTGCACCCATCAATGTGCTACCTTCTCATGCTTATCTATCTGTTTAACACTTTTCTCACTTTGAAGAGCTCATATTCTCTGAGTGTTGCTCTTCATCTTTGGCCTATCAGACCCACTGGATCCTGTCCTCATATGTTCTCTGCTCTTATCTGTGGCCCTGCTCATAGCTGACCCCCCCCCCCCCCCCCCCCCTCCTCCTCCCCCTTAGGGCCATCTTTAACAAAATAGCAGAGCCAGTGATGTGATGTTTAACACAGGACTCTAAGGTGAAATCCAGCTGTTTTCGTACGATTATCAGGGCACCTGAGATGCTCTGTGGTGTGATTTTTAATCCTTCATTTCTTCATTTTGAACTCCTGGTTGATACACTTTCAAAAACATCATGATACAAACGATGATATTTTCTTTTTTTAAAGGATTATTTTTGGGGCTTTTGATTACTTCATTTTGAGATAGGACAGAGGATAGAGTCAGAAATCAGAGAGAGAGAGCGAAGGGAATGACATGCGGGAAAGTAGCCACTGGTCGGATTCGAACCCTGGCTGCATGCCCACTCGGAGGACCATAGCCTCCCTCCGGGCACACATTGATAAAGCCAAATAAACGTCGAGGAGAGGGAGGATTATTTACACATTTTCTTTCATCACATCACAAACCTTCTCATGGATTTTTTTTTTTGTTCCCAGCCCCACAGGAAGACGAGTTCTCACTACCCAGAATGCCTTGCTCTTACCTGTTTCCAGACAGAGTGCGTGGCGAGTGATTTAAAGGGGGGGGGGGTGTTGGAATCGGCTGCAGTATTTCAGCCCGTGCCACCAGCAAATAGATATAATCTCAACATTAACTCCATTAACTCCAGTAGCAGGAGTTGAATTAAAAAAAGCTGTAAAGCACGCACACACCAGAGGGATAAATTACAGTCCCCCCCATCATCCCCCCCCCCCCCCCCCCCCCCCGCTTCTCTCTCTCTCAGCCGCCTCCTCTTTCATTTCAATATCTCAGTGTGCTTGGCCCGTTTGTGTTTGCTCTCTGAAGGAGGGATTGAAATCTTCCCATTCTCGATGCTTAATCTTGCCCCTTTGTTTTTCTTTTTTAGTTTATTTAACCCCCCAACTCTAAAGAAGTACACTATTTTTGGGTGTATACATCCACACACACACACACACACACACACACGCTCATCTCCTTTAGTGCTTCAGTATCGATCAGTACAGGATGTAAGAGACCGGGCAATAAAGTGAAGCAGCGCTCCTCTTCTTCACTTCTCTCCTCTTTTCCCCTCCCCCGTTCATCGCCTCTGATTCCCCTGATTCATTCATTCACTCATTACTTATCACATCAGTCATCCGCCCATCACCTACAGGCTCCTCTCGCTCCGCACTCAGCACAAACTCCCTCCTAAGAGTTTGTTTCTCACTCTGATAGTGGAGTTTTGTTCATTACACTCGGATCCCTTTAAGTTGGATTTGATGGCGTCTCGATGGCGTAATGAGCCCGCGTTGGTTTCCTTTAAGTGCCCTGAAGAAGAGCAGCAGAATTAGCCCGATGACTGTTTTTCGCTGCGCTCTGTTTCAAGGGTAACTGTTTCCCAATATGAGCTTACTAATGCTTGGGTTTGCAGACAAATAAGACGAGAGCAGCATTATTCAGAGCAGCCGCGCGACCCTCCAAATTCTTCCCTGTCACTAAAACAAAAGTCGGATCATTCATCAACGCGGGCCGTAGTGCTGAGTTGCGCTCTCCTTTTATCCGTGCATTGCATGGTCAGAGCGGTGCACACACACACACCTGCCTGCACACACACACACACACACACACACACGCCTGCGCATGCTGACGACTCTCTGGGGGATTTGATTGTGTCCTTGTCCCCGCCTTCATTACTCCCTTTTATTACTCCCTGGTAATTTCACCTTTTCTTTTTTAGGAAGTTATTTTTTCTCTTACTGTGACCTGAAATTATTTCCTTTAAAGTCTTTATTTGTGATTTTTCACACTTAAATGTAGAAATCAAGTATCTCCTCTGAAAATAACTCTGTGAGTCATGACTGTCTACAATGGGTGTAACACCCGAGTCCCACTGTCTGTGATGTTTTCAGAGTTTTCAGAGTCCTATCTTCACTTTGTTTACATCGCCCAGACGGCCGGCTGACTCCTCCCCTCGTGTATAAAAGTTGTTTAATTGAGGGACTAGAGAAAAGAAGAATAACATACTGTACTCACTGCTTAACTGTGTTTCTAGATCACGCTCATTTCAGGTAAATTTACATGCAGTGTGAAGATACCAGCATAATAAAGATCGCTAGCATTAGCATGCTAACACAACAATGCAGCACGAGTTGTTTTGGTTTCATGCTGGTGGAGTTTGGTGCTCAAGGGCGACATCTGCTGGATCAAAAAATCACATATAAAGACTTTAAGTTTTGCAAGACAACACAAGGAACTACAAACTGCTGTTAACTTTGTCCGAAGGAATTTTAACAAACTGAGACTAATTTGGATCCAAAGTGACGACCATCAGAGGATCAAGAGAGGAGGAAACAACGAACAGCTTTAAGTCTGATCAGACAGGAAGTGACCAGAGGAAGAACACTTTTTTTTAACAATTAAAGGTGATATTTTAATAATAATAAAGTTTATTTATAAAGCACTTTGTGACAAAGGTCACAAAGTGCTTTACATCAACAAAAAACAACAACAGCATACATACAATAAAAGAAGAACAAAGAAAAAAAAAAGGAGTATGTCATGGACGACAATATAAGATCCTATAAAACATCGATGAGTAGGTACACTGGGTGGACCTGATTACCCATAAGCCTGACTAAACATTAACGTTTTTAATTGTTTTTTAAAGACGTAGTGAGACGGGTAGAGGATTGGTGCTATGGACTGAAACGCACGATCCCCGTATATCATCATCAGCAACAACATGGACAGCTGTTCTTAAAAGTTCTGATTAAACATCAAAACCTTAAATATCATCATCATCGTTCTCTGTGAGTGAAACTTGTAAAAGTCAGGTCATTATGAGTCACTGAGTTTAATCACGTCATCTCTTACTTACAAATGTTGGACTGAGTGAACCATACTTGTTTTCAGACCTTACAAACTCGGCAAGAAAAAGGAGGCAAAGAGAAAAAACATGAATAATAATAAGTAAAACAGGAAGTTGACCGAGAATCTGGTCTAATGAACTCCATGTTGCCCAGTTTTCAATAAAAGCATCATTTTTTGTGTCACAGTTAAAGAACTTGTTGTTATTCTAAACACCATATTAACACATTCATCAGCCTCTTCCTGGTTAAGGACTTATTCTGATATTCTGATCTGGTTTTTAAACTTCTTTCTCCACTCAAGTTCCTCTAGATCTACCGGGTACAACACTTTTAGAGGAACAAATCAGTCTCCAGTGTAGTGAACAAGACTTCTAATGTTTCGTATTTGGTTTGAGATTCTACAGAAATCAGTCAGTTGTTTTTTTAAACTTCTTGTTCAATCATATGTTGGAGCATCCGTACATCTTTCTTTGTAAGGACACACATGATGAGTCGTGATATCTTGAATATTTTATGTCGATCTGAAGTACTTCTATTTAGTTGGATGACCTTAAAGTTATTTTGTTTCTGTGAAACAATTACATTACGTTAGGTTCGACTTGATCTAACTTAATATATTTAGATGGAAAAAGTCTACTTAATACATTTAATTAGTGGTGCAGTGGCGCAGTGGTTAGTGTGCCCCATGTACAGAGGCTGTAGTCCTCAAAGCGGGCGGCCCAGGTTCAAATCCAGCCTGTGGCTCCTTTCCTGCATGTCATTCCCACACTTTCTCTCTCCCTGATTACCGACTCTATCCACTGTCCTATCTCTACATTAAAGGCACAAAAGCCCAAAATAGATCTTTCAAAAATAATAATAATTTAATTAAAGTAAACATTTTATGTTTTTGAGTGCATGAAGTGTCTTTCCCGGTCCCTTGTCAGGGGACGTATGAAAAGAAGAAGAAGATATACTGTATTAATCCTGCGAGGTGATGTGTGAAGGGAACGTTGATTTGTCTCTGGGAGGATTTGTTCATCAGGGTCCTGGAGGGTCTCAGCTGAAGGTTTGGGACATCACTGAGAACAGACCAAAGAGAGTCCAGAGACAAAGAGTCCTTTATATATTTGTTGTTCTTGGAGTTGTTCTTGATGCTTTGTCTCTTTTCTCCAGTCCCCTCATTGCAGGCAGATTGCCTTAATGCAGAGCTAATCTCCTCCTTTAGAGGCTGTTTACACTAATGCTGAAACACATTCACATTATATATATATATGTGTGTGTGTGTGTGGTGCTGTTCCACAGGAGTCTGAGGACTTCATTTCAGTCCAAATGAAGCTTTCAGGACACCTTGACCAAATAACAAACACAACTACCAACCCAGATATGTTCACGTTTGTATGAAATCTTCACACTGCTTTAAAACATGCTGGCTCATCTGAGTGTATCACAAAAAAATATGTGGCAGGTTTCAGTCACCATATGAACCCCCCGTGTGAAAACCCTTCTAACAGACTGGTCTACCCCCCCCCCCCCCCCCCCCCCCCCCGTGTCAGGGTTAACTGCTGTCTGTGTTAACTGTTCATGTCATATCCCCATTAACCTCCATTGTGGCTCCCCGCGCCGCCCGCTCCTTGTTTAAGCCTCCCCGGGTGGCAGTCAGCGCTCCAACATTAGCCTCCATTACGGCTCCCATGGCTGCAGTTGCCCCGTGTAGGGCAGCCACTGATCTTGTATCAGGTGAAACTGAGTGTCTGTGCGGCTGAGTTATGACACGCAGTCAGGTAGATCGTGTACGTGAGTGCAGCTGGTAGTCGCTCTGTTTTTTGTTTTTTATTTATTTGCAGCAGTGCAGCAGCTCTCGACCGGCTGCAAGCGTGTTAAGCGTCCGTGTCAGTTGTTTTGTTGCGCTGCGTGCATTCGGGGTAACCCTCTCTTTTTCTCTGTAATGGGAGGCATGAACTCTCGCTCTAAACCCATTTCCAGCCCATCTGAAATACGGCAGCAAATTACCTCCAGCGGCACCCTGCACACCAGCCCCAATCCGCCCCAAATAGAAGTGACAGGACAGCGCAATTTATCGCCATAACCCCTGCACCCCCCCTCCCGCCACCCAGCAGCCCCACACACACCGTACTCACAGCACCGCTCACACACACGTCTGCTGAGTGACTTCTGAACGTGTGTGAAGAGGCCTGTGATTGTGTGTACTGTACATACTGTAGCAGTGTGTGTGTGTGTGTGTGTGTGTGTGTGTGTGTGTGTGTGTGTGTGTGTGTGTGTGTGTGTGTGTGTGTGTGTGTGTGGTCTGGACGCTCCAGTGTAGGGGGCCAACCTCACTGCCCTGGCCCCCTGCCCTGCCTATTATCTCATTGATTTCCTCCTCTCCTCTTTTCAATTCTCTCCATTTCCACACTGCCGTCCTTTCCATTAGAGGAGCAATTTAACAGAGTGCTGTGACATGGGAGAGAGAGAAAGGGAGGGACGAGGGGCAAGAGAGAGCGAGGGGAGACTAGAGGATGGAAAACATAAAGTGAGGAGAGGGGTGGACCTGGGGGAGGGATGAACAGATAATCTTTCCAGTTTGGAAGAATTGCATGACTGAAAAATCCCCCCACACTTTGTAACCTGAACACAACATTTTAAGTTTGAATCAACAGAAATACAAATTCAGTCATTAAAGTTACTCAAAATAAACTCTCTCCTTGTCTCTCTCTCTCTCTCTCTCTCTCTCTCTCTCTCTCTCTCTCTCTCTCTCTCTCTCTCTCTCTCCTCAGGAGTTTCCTTCAGAATCGTATGCGACTCCCCCACGACAGACCCCCGCCACACGCTCAGCACTGGAGAGGAAGCGCCATGTGCTGGATTGGTGGTTCCCTGTACCAAGTGTCGGCCAATAAGCTGTCCCGCACTGTGGGGTCCAACATGTCCATCAACAGAACAGGTAGTGTGACCTGTACTGTCACTACACCTCTCAACACGTCTCATACTTCAATAATGGTTTTCATACATACAAAAGATCCAATCTACAGAAGTTACATTTCAGCTTTCCATACTGAAACGTTGCCAATGAATTCATGCAGTTTAATGTGAGAAACATAAGGTCATTCTTATGTTTGTGAACATCTTTTTATTGCGTTGGCAGTGGTCAGACATGCACGTTTACATTCTCAAAATATTTAAACAGAAAGTTCATTAAATAGAGTGTTGAAAAAATAAATCAGTGTCAATGCTCAATCATGCAATCATGTTGCAAATGTGCGAGTAGTTTGCAGATATATATCTTCATCAGTTGTGCATTAAATAACCTGTTGTACAATATAACAACAACTAAATGCAAACCCCCTCGTTTCCTTGGTGAAAAAATGACAAGACATTCTGAATTTAATTAAAAATAATCAGCTCTACGATTGAACTAACCGTCTGATCTGATCGTTATTTAAAACTAACATTAAAGGCTTTATATGTGATTTTTTGATCCAGCAGATGTCGCCCTTGAGCACCAGCATGAAACCAAAACAACTCGCGCTGCATTGTTGTGTTAGCATGCTAATGCTAGCGATCTTTATTATGCTGGTATCTTCACACTGCATGTAAATTTACCTGAAATGAGCGTGATCTAGAAACACAGTTAAGCAGTGAGTACAGTATGTTATTCTTCTTTTCTCTAGTCCCTCAATTAAACAACTTTTATACACAAGGGGAGGAGTCAGCCGGCCGTCCGGGCGATGTAAACAAAGTGAAGATAGGACTCTGAAAACTCTGAAAACATCACAGACAGTGGGACTCGGGTGTTACACCCATTGTAGACAGTCATGACTCACAAGTTATTTTCAGAGGATAGACTTGATTTCTATTACATTTAAGTGTAAAAATTATGCTAAAGAGTCTGTTCCCCCCCCCCCCCCACACACACACACACACACACTGAGGACATAGTCTGTGTGCACCCCGAGGTGACAGAGGAGTGTTTATTCATGTTTGTGGCTGCAGCTCTGTCTCTAATAGACTTAGGGGAACTGGCTGGATTTGCCATCTGAAATAATAAAGTTGTCATCTGTCAGAGCAGCGAGGGGGAGGGGGGGGGGGGGGGGGTCTGGAGAACTGGACGGTGCAGATTAAAGCCTGGATCTACTCCTCCACTTTTCTCTTCATACACTCTCAGTACCAGCTACACCTGCAGGTCAGATTGAAGAGCTCCATTCTGTTTGGAGCTCGTGACCGGCATCACACACACACACACACACACACACACACACACACACACACACACACACACACATTCCTGCATCCTCCACAAACACACACTCTCAGGTGTCCTCACATCCTCCCCCAGCCAGCTCCACATTGGTTTGTTGATGTGAAGCCACTGATCTGTAATTCTGCTCTGCTTAAATCAAACCAGAGCGAACACCCGATGAGAGATTTAACAGCCAAAGAAAGTTCCAAAGTTAGAGGCCGTGTGTAACCACAGCCTCCATGTCCTCGCCTCCACTCGCCTCATGGCACACACACACACACACACACACACACGCCTCTCCCCTGTTGTTGCAGTGCACCGGGTGCATCATGTTTATATGTTCTCGGACACAGATGGACGTCACATTTGGCTTTGACACCAATGCGTCAAACCACACCAGTATAAATAACCACGCTCGTATCAGGTTGTTATTGAATCTGGCTGCAGCTTCACTTCAGTCAAAATCTGATGTGAGGCCTTATAATAATCTCCTTTTTTAAATTTTCAAATACGACTTATAGTATGGAGAGTAACCGTCACAATATTCCAGATAAGAACACTTTAAAACATTTGACTGAACTTGAAATTGAACGTTTTTTTTTTATTTTCTTTTGTATTTTGCTCTATTACAGTGTATAGCTTCTGTACAGTTTATTTTAATTTACTTAGCTGTTACTACAACTTATTTTTTTATTTTTTGTATTTTTCTACTCTTTTCTTCTTATAATGCTATTCTATTTTCTATATAATTTAAACATTTTTTGTAGAAGCTGACTCAGGGAGAAATGCTCAAAAGATTCCAATGTACCTTTACTGTCCAAATGGCAATAAATATCTATTCTATTCTATGAATCAAAATAGATCTCTAAACTAAACCTTTAACTTTAAGATGCCGCTGCGTGGTCGTCATGGTTACCTCTCACAGCAGACGTCAGCTAAGAGGAGAGAGAAAAGATTTCACAAACAAAGTGTAACACACCTAAAAGTAAAACAGCTGCAGCCACATTTTAGTACAAGTTCACGTGTCATCGCTCATTTATTTTATTTAAATAAAATTAAAGAGGCGAGATACAATTAAAAAAGAGAGCGAGGGTGTAGCAACAAAAAACAGCAAGAATGAAACAGGAAGTTCTGCTGATGCACCCCCTCCTGCCCCCCACCTGCAGGACTAACCATGGGTCCTGGTGGGACAGGGCCTTCTCCATTGTCGCTGCCACCTTCTGGAACTCACTTACAAAAAACCTCAGAGACCTCCCCCCCGTCCCCTCACTCTCCCCCCTCACCACCAACAACCTCCACTCTCATCCTCCTTCTCTTACACTATCTTCTCGTAGTTTTGTTTTTGTTGTTTTGTTTTGTTCAGCGTCTTTGAGTAGAAAGTAGAAAAGCGATATAAGTCTAATTTATTGTTATTATTATTATATAGTACCTGCAGTTAAAGTGCAAGAAAACACAATGAAATAGAGTCAAAATAGTGAGTAAGAACAATTCAAATATTAAAAGCTGAAACGGTGAAAATCAGCAAGCTCAGAAATTAAACCTTGGAATGGCCTCATGTATTAATGTGTACAGATGTTACAGAATCGATACGGCTGCAAAGCTGTGATGACATTGTTGAAAGACAATCGACCTATGGTGCCGTTCACAATAACGCCATCGCCATATCTCCTGGATTCAAATATTTTCATGTATTTCTATAAGATCTCTGAGGACCTGAGTTGAAGCGTCCTTGTGAGTAGTAACTCATTTCATTTCAAACCTTTATTTAAGCCTCGAAAATCATTGAGGTTTCCCTCATTTACAATGATGTCGAGCTACAGATAAAAAAAAAAAAAGGGCACAAATAAAACAATAAAGACAGGTCAGGATAATTCTCATTACAAACAATTACACACTGTGGTAAAGTGGTTTGAGATTGTTGTCTTAATCTGACCAAGAGAAACAGAGTGTCAATCTTGAGACAGTGTTGTAAATTGTTCCACATTTTTGGAGCTAAGAAGCTTGAAAGCGGATTTTCCAAGTTCAGAGTAAACCCGCTGGACTTGGAGCTGTAGAGGGTCAGTAGAGCGAGTGTGGTAGGTTCAGCAGAAATGTTATATAAGATGGTGTACATCCAATAACGGATTTATAAATAAAGACATACACGTGATTATCACGTCTCTGCTGAGAATACAATGATGAGTGTTATAGGGGTCTCCGGTTATGAATCTAAGAGCAGCTCGATAAACTGAATCTAGGGTTTTAAGAGTGGAAGCAGACGCATGTCTGTAGATGGTATCGCCATAATCAAGCACTGACATAAAGACAGCTTCAACGATACGTTTCCTACAATCAGGAGGGAAGTTCGCTCTGTTTCTGTACAGAAGACAAAGTTTCTGCCGTAGTTTGCCAGTAAGATTTTCCACATGATGTTCAAAAGTAAAAGATTCGGCCAGCCAAATGCCAAGATATTTATATACTCTGACCCTTTCAATACTGCTGCCATTGAGTGTGGATAATTGTAGACGGTAAAAAACAACTAAAAGCAGACCTTCCTAACTTTGAGTGACATGTGAAGGCTTTGAGTGTGCTTCACATATCTCCGTTTATACTCTCTGCCCATGTCCAAGTAAACGTGGTGTCTTTCCATATTTGTGGTTTCATAGAGAGATCAAAGTTTTAAAGGCTAAAAGCTTTAAACTGGACACAAAGCTTGAGCACACAATGTCCTTCACTCATACGTTTCTTTTCTCCACGTTTAGGACGGACTTACGGCGCCGCTCAGGTTTCAGCCACATATCCAGCGTACAACCGAGGCTCCAGCACTCGTCATTTAGCCAGGTAAGACTTTCACACCGCCGTCTCTTTTCAGCAGGAGAAGTGAAACTGAAGAAGTGTGAACAGATCTGAATACATATACGACTTTAGAAACTTTGTGCTGAACAGATATATGTGGGTCATCCTGCTGACCTCCTTCATACAACACCATCAGGAAATCAAATCCATCCAAGACTTTTACATCTGATCCTCTCTCTCTCTCTCCCTCTCTTTCTCTCTCTCTCTCTCTGTCTCTCTCTCTCTCTCTCTCTCTGTCTCTCTCTCTCTGTCTCTCTCTCTGTCTCTCTCCTTCTCTCTCTCCTCTCTCTCTCTCTCTCTCTCTTTCTCCTTCTCTCTCCCTCTCTCTCTCCTTCTCTCTCCCTCTCTCTCTCTCTCTCTCTCCCTCTCTTTCTCCTTCTCTCTCTCTCTCTCTCTCTCTCTCTCCCTCTCTTTCTCCTTCTCTCTCCCTCTCTCTATCCTTCTCTCTCCCTCTCTCTCTCCTTCTCTCTCTGTCTCCCTCTCTCTCCCTCTCTTTCTCCTTCTCTCTCCCTCTCTCTCTCCCTCTCTCTCTCCTTCTCTCTCCCTCTCTCTCTCCCCCTCTCTTTCTCCTTCTCTCTCCCTCTCTCTCTCCTTCTCTCTCCCTCTCTCTCCCTCTCTTTCTCCTTCTCTCTCCCTCTCTCTCTCCTTCTCTCTCCTTCTCTCTCCCTCTCTCTCTCCTTCTCTCTCTCTCTCTCTCTCTCTACCTCTAATATTGACTGCCTTTCATCAAGTAAACTTAGAGCTGTAAATCCATTAATAATCCTTTCAAATGAAAATAAAATGAACACATCAATCTCTCGTAGTGTGAGTTTCCTCTTTGGTTAAAAGCTGCTTCTCATTGGTCCGTGGATACCTGTGGTTTTGTGTCTCTCTCAAACTAGCCGTGCGGTCCAGCGGAGCCTCGCCATCATCAGACACGCTCAGCACAAGAAGCAGCAGAAACAGTACTGCATGTACTACAACCGCTTCGGAAAGTGTAACCGCGGCAACAGCTGCCCTTACATCCATGACCCAGACAAGGTGGCCGTCTGCACCAGGTAACAAAAACAGCCAATTCATCACACACACGTTGGAGGCTCATAATTCTCCTGTGTGCACAAACATGAGTAATCTCAGGTGTAGACGTCATTAACAACAACGAACAGCAATGCCCTCCGTGTTTGTCCACTGATGTCCTCTCACCTCTAAGTAGTCACTTTGTATAAAAGGCAAATCAACGACCTCTGGAAAACATGAAAAGAGACTGCCCAAAGTAGTAAGCAACTTTCCACTTGTACAGTGTTTCTGAACATATATCTGTGTAACCTGAGAGTCTACTGACCCACAACATGTGAAATAAACCCATCCAGTCCTTTGTTTGTGGTCTGCATAAGTCTTGCAACACAGAGAAAAATGCTCTGTTTCAAATGTGCTCTCCTTGTGATGTCACAGTGGGATTCTGGTAAAAAAAAAAATCCCCTCCCCTCCCCTGATATCTCCACCCATAGACTCCACCCCCAGACTAGAACAAAACTTTTGAGCAGGTCGGCCATTTTTATTCTCTCTACAGAGGAGTGATGTCTACGGGGAAAACTCAGGGGGGCCACTGCATTTAAAGAGACACACACACCAAAACAGAGCGTTCTGAGAGAGCTGGTTTATACAGGGTCACAAACCTCCTCTGGTGCTTGATTCATGTTATATTTTGACCAAAGCACAGCACAGACGTTTCATTTAGACCACAGGGGGGCTGTTTGAAAAGGTGGAGGAGGACTGTTTGAAAAGGTGGAGGAGGGGACTGTTTGAAAAGGTGGAGGAGGGGACTGTTTGAAAAGGTGGAGGAGGGGGAGAATATTTCCTCTTTAAGTTTTTAATGAAGCCTATTAGTGTCCGCTGTTAGGTCTTAAGGCTTTCCATCATACTGAGATGACAAATATATTTTTTAAACTAAATCAACGGCCAAAACATCTCTGATGAAATGCATTCAAGTTATCATTGCAAATAAACTTTAACAACATGAAAAACGGTTTCACAACCAGCAGCTTCTCCAGCTCAGCAGACTCTGTTTGTTTTTTCTGCAGGTTTCTACGAGGGACGTGCAAGCAGGCAGACGGGACCTGCCCGTTCTCTCATAAGGTTGCCAAGGAGAAGGTAACATTCGGCGTCATGCACCTAGATTTTTTAGACAACATAGTGTTTCATGTTTTTCATTGCTGAGGCGGATGGTAGGGTACAGTGTGTGCATGTAAGATGACACAGTATTGGGTACAGTCGTTGTGGATCAGATGTATGTTCTTGGCAAGACTCCTTGTTTCCATGACACAGGAGAGAGAGAGAGTAAGACTCGACCTGGTAGGGGCGTTCAAGAGAAGAGAAGGAAGGGGGGGTGATGGGTAAACCAGCAGCCTAAAGGTTAGAGTTCAGCAACAGTTCACTACCACCATGAGTTACACTCAGCCCCCCTTTACACTCATGGAAAGCCAGGTGTTGGTTTGGGCTACCTGAAATATGCGTCACCTGGGGGATGCTTTCACAGCGGTCTGGGTGAAAGAAAAAGGGCCTCAGAGTTTGGGGATATGGGTTCTGAAATTGGGGGCGTGGCCTGGACGCCGGAGGGTCGCTGGTTCAAGTCCCTTTGCCGTCCTGCTGGAGAGATTCTAGTTCACTCCCACGCCGAGGTTCTCCTGAGCAAGGCTCTGAACCCCCCACTGCTCGGGCGTTTGCATGTGAAGCCCTTTACTCTGACATCTCTCCATTAAGTGTGTGTGTGTGTGTGTGTGTGTGTGTGTGTGTGTGTGTGTGTGTGTGTGTGTGTGTGTGTGTGTGTGTGTGGTGTGTGTGTGTGTGTGTGTGTGTGTGTGTGTGTGTGTGTGTGTGTGTGTGTGTGTGTGTGTGTGTGAGGAAAGTTTAGATGCTCTAAAAGGGAAAGCTTCTTTTATTTCATTCAGACAAACAACAGGTGCCCTTAGCTCTGTCTCTCACACACACACACACACACACACACACACACACACAATGCCCTGCACCTGTGTTGGCTGTCACCCTGCTGCCTGTGAGTGCTGAGAGCCCAGCTGTCTGTTTGCTATGCCTCCTCTCTTACAGCCCCCCCACCCGCCCCCCCACCATGCCTAAACCTTTGGCCCATCCCTCCACAGGATACTCCTGCTCTGATTTCATGTGGACCCTTAAACCGGACTGTATGGGGGTCCTGAGACAGACAGAAGGTGGCTTGATTTGGGGATGGGGGGGGACTTCAGGGTTATACACCCAGCAGTCCTCCGAACCTGATCGGGGTGTTAGTGTGGACCCCACCCTTCTGTCCCCCCACTACCACAAATACCTCGAAACCAGAGACTCCCCTGGCATTACCCCACACACTACCCGGGAACACCAGCTCCCCCTCCCCACCCCTCCCCTCCACCCCCCACCCCACCCGTGCACACATCCAGAGCACATAAACACATCATGAGAGTGGGACAAGCTGCAGCCTGGATAAATATTTCTGTAGCAGTTAATTAGGTAGAAGTGATCCCAACCCAACAAGGAGGAGACCCTCTCACCCCCCCCCCCCCCCCGAGATATATTTAGAGTGGCCTCCACCAGGCTCGCCCACACTCTCTCTGCACACACCCCACACACACATGCTGTCAAAACTCACACTCACTTTCACTCGTCCGCTGTCAACTGCAATTAAGCTCATTTAGCCGCTCGCTGTGACGGATTGTTTGGCTGAGGAGACATGTGAACCCAACATGGCCGTGCTGCGGTTTTAAAGAAGAGCATGTCTGTTTACAAACTCGTACTATCTCATGTCATCTACTGCTCACATCAACGTCTCACTGTACAACTCAAAGGGGGGAGGAACTTTCTGAAGTTTGGATTGAATCACACACATGAGCCACCTGGTTTTATTTTGAAGCTTTTGGTTTAAGTGAACTTCAGATCATCCTATTTTCAGAATAAAATGAAAAACTCTGCTTGCTTTTCCCTGCACATTAAATAGTATCTCTGCTTCACATAGAAATGAATAGTATCCCTATTAGCTGTACCCTAAAGCCGTCCTAGTCCTTCCTTTGGTCAGCGTAAACAAAACAAAATTAAACATTCAACAAAATAAAGGTTTTTGTTTTTAAGATTTTTGTGAGGGATTGCTCTGCTTTTATTTTAGAGATAGGACGATCGTTAGAGTCAGAAACCTTTGGGAGAGAGAGAGAGAGGAACGACATGCGGTAAGGGAGCCACAAGTCGGATTCAAACCCTGGGCGCTCGCTCCTGAGGACTTAGGCCTCTGTACATGGGGGCGCGCACATTAACCACTAGGCTACCGGCGCCCCCTGAATACATTTCTATAAAAAACACAATATCTCTAAAAACTACCTGTTATGAAAATACAATATGTATATGTTTGTTTTTAAAAAATTGAACTGAGCCTGATGTGTGGTCACAGCAGCGAGCGAGTTGGCAGGATTGATGACGTTTATATCACATGACTGATGAACATCTGGTGGGATCTTTCTCCACATGATGACGCTGCTTTCTCTTTTCTGCTTCACCAACCCCATCTTCAAGACAGCCATCTTTTATAGATTTTGTCTGTCTTTGTTTGTCTCATGAACACGAGTCTCTCTTTACACGTGTGTGTGTGTTTGTCTCCTGAACATGTGTGTGTGTGTTTGTCTCCTGAACATGTGTGTGTGTTTGTCTCCTGAACATGTGTGTGTGTTTGTCTCCTGAACAGGTGTGTGTGTTTGTCTCCTGAACACGTGTGTGTGTTTGTCTCCTGAACATGTGTGTGTGTTTGTCTCCTGAACATGTGTGTGTGTGTTTGTCTCCTGAACATGTGTGTGTGTGTTTGTCTCCTGAACATGTGTGTGTGTGTTTGTCTCCTGAACATGTGTGCGTGTGTTTGTCTCCTAAACACGTGTGTGTGTTTGTCTCCTGAACATGTGTGTGTGTGTTTGTGTCCTGAACATGTGTGTGTGTGTTTGTCTCCTGAACACGTGTGTGTTTGTCTCCTGAACGCGTGTGTGTGTTTGTCTCCTGAACATGTGTGTGTGTTTGTCTCCTGAACGCGTGTGTGTGTTTGTCTCCTGAACATGTGTGTGTGTTTGTCTCCTGAACACGTGTGTGTGTGTTGTGTCCTGAACATGTGTGTGTGTTTGTGTCCTGAACACGTGTGTGTGTTTGTCTCCTGAACATGTGTGTGTGTTTGTCTCCTGAACACGTGTGTGTGTTTGTCTCCTGAACACGTGTGTGTGTTTGTCTCCTGAACACGTGTGTGTGTTTGTCTCCTGAACACATGTGTGTGTGTGTTTGTCTCCTGAACATGTGTGTGTGTTTGTCTCCTGAACATGTGTGTGTGTGTTTGTCTCCTGAACATGTGTGTGTGTTTGTCTCCTGAACATGTGTGTGTGTTTGTCTCCTGAACACATGTGTGTGTGTGTTTGTCTCCTGAACATGTGTGTGTTTGTCTCCTGAACAGGTGTGTGTGTTTGTCTCCTGAACACGTGTGTGTGTTTGTCTCCTGAACATGTGTGTGTGTGTTTGTCTCCTGAACATGTGTGTGTGTTTGTCTCCTGAACATGTGTGCGTGTGTTTGTCTCCTGAACACGTGTGTGTGTTTGTCTCCTGAACACGTGTGTGTGTTTGTCTCCTGAACGCGTGTGTGTGTGTTTGTCTCCTGAACATGTGTGTGTGTGTTTGTGTCCTGAACATGTGTGTGTGTGTTTGTGTCCTGAACATGTGTGTGTGTTTGTCTCCTGAACATGTGTGTGTGTTTGTCTCCTGAACATGTGTGTGTTTGTCTCCTGAACATGTGTGTGTTTGTCTCCTGAACATGTGTGTGTGTGTTTGTCTCCTGAACATGTGTGTGTTTGTCTCCTGAACATGTGTGTGTGTGTTTGTCTCCTGAACATGTGTGTGTGTTTGTCTCCTGAACATGTGTGTGTGATTGTCTCCTGAACACGTGTGTGTGTTTGTCTCCTGAACACGTGTGTGTGTTTGTCTCCTGAACACGTGTGTGTGTTTGTCTCCTGAACACGTGTGTGTGTTTGTCTCCTGAACATGTGTGTGTGTGTTTGTCTCCTGAACATGTGTGTGTGTGTTTGTCTCCTGAACATGTGTGCGTGTGTTTGTCTCCTGAACATGTGTGTGTGTGTTTGTCTCCTGAACATGTGTGTGTGTGTGTCTCCTGAACATGTGTGTGTGTGTTTGTCTCCTGAACATGTGTGTGTGTGTTGTCTCCTGAACATGTGTGTGTGTTTGTCTCCTGAACACGTGTGTGTGTTTGTCTCCTGAACATGTGTGTGTTTGTCTCCTGAACATGTGTGTGTGTGTTTGTCTCCTGAACATGTGTGTGTGTTTGTCTCCTGAACACGTGTGTGTGTTTGTCTCCTGAACACGTGTGTGTGTTTGTCTCCTGAACATGTGTGTGTTTGTCTCCTGAACATGTGTGGTGTTTGTCTCCTGAACATGTGTGTGTGTGTTCCTGTCTCTCCAGATGCCCGTGTGCTCCTACTTCCTGAAGGGGATCTGCAACAACAGCAACTGTCCCTACAGTCACGTCTACGTGTCCCGCAAAGCTGAAGTGTGTGAGGACTTTGTCAGAGGATACTGTCCCGAGGGAGAGAAGGTACCCCACACACACACACACACACACACACACACACCAAACACATTCAATGTCATGCAGCGTTTAAGTGTCTCTGTGTGTCTCTCCTTTTCATCCAGATATTTGACAAAAAAAAAAAAAAAACTTTTACTGAAGCTCCAAGGTTTTTTTCAGTATTGAACCAAATGATGCTGTCGTTTGATTCCCCCAGTGTTGTGATTCGACATGTGTCACACACACACACACACACACACACACACACACACACACACACTTTGCCTTGTTTTGGCCCGTTGGCTCCCTCAGGTACACAGACTTGAACTGACAAAATGTCCTCTACTCAGAATAGATGTGTTTCCTCACATGAAATTCTCCTCATTCTGTATTTTAAATGTCTAACATGTAACTCACAGTGAATCTCTGGCTCGGCTGTTTGTGCTGCATCCTGTTAAGTAACTTATCTGACACCTAACATGCCGGACGATCCATTATCTATACCAAGTGTCCCATTCGGGGTCACAGGGGTCTAGAGTTGATCCCAGCTGTTATTGGGCAAGAGGGGTACACCTTTGACTCTCCAGTCAATCACAGGGCTGACATATAGAGACAGAGAAACGTTCACACTCACATCTACATGTACGGGTGATTATTTACCAGGTAACCTAACGAGGACAAACTCCACACAGAGAGTCCCTGCCCATCTGGGGGTTCGAACCGCAAACAGCGCTAACCAGTGAAGAATCATGCAGGACAAAAATCAGCTTCAAGGAAAAGAATCAGTCCTCTTTATAATGGTTTGCTTCTGCTCATAAAGATCTTCATTTTAATTTCAGTCTGTTTCATAACCAGCGAAAAACTCCTCACAGGAGCTCAAAACTCTCTCTCCCTCTCTCTCTCTCCCTCTCTGTCTCTCCCTGTCCCTTTCTCTCTCTCTCACTGTCCCTTTCTCTGTCTCTCTCTCTCTCTCTCTCTCTCTCTCTGTCCCTTTCTCTCTCTCTCTCTCTCTCTCTCTGTCCCTTTCTCTGTCTCTCTCTCTCTCTCTCTCTCTCTCTCTCTCTGTCCCTCTCTCTCTCTCTCTCTCTCTCTCTCTCTCTCTCTCTGTCCCTTTCTCTGTCTCTCTCTCTCTCTCCCTGTCCCTTTCTCTGTCCCTTTCTCTCTCTCTCTCCCTGTCCCTTTCTCTGTCTCTCTCTCTCTCCCTGTCCCTTTCTCTGTCTCTCTGTCCCTTTCTCTCTCTCTCTCTCTCCCCTGTCCCTTTCTCTCTCTCCCTGTCCCTTTCTCTGTCCTCTCTCTCTCTCTCTCTCCCTGTCCCTTTCTCTCTCTTCTCGCTGTCTCTTTCTTTGTCTCTCTCTCCCTCTCTCTCTCTCTCTCTCTCTCTCTCTCTCTCTCTCTCTCTCTCTCTCTCCCTGTCCCTTTCTCTCTCTCTCTCTCTCTCCTGTCCCTTTCTCTGTCTCTCCCTGTCCCTTTCTCTCTCTCTCGCTGTCCCTTTCTCTGTCTCTCTCTCTCTCTCTCTCTCTCTCTCTCTCTCTCTCTCTCTCTCTCTCTCTCTGTCCCTTTCTCTCTCTCTCTCTCTCTCTCTCTCTCTGTCCCTTTCTCTGTCTCTCTCTCTCTCTCTCTCTCTCTGTCCCTTTCTCTCTCTCTCTCTCTCTCTCTCTCTCTCTCTCTGTCCCTTCTCTGTCTCTCTCTTCTCTCCCTGTCCCTTTCTCTGTCCCTTTCTCTCTCTCTCTCCCTGTCCCTTTCTCTGTCTCTCTCTCTCTCTGTCCCTTTCTCTGTCCTCTCTCTCTCTCCCTCTCTCTCTCTCCCTGTCCCTTTCTCTCTCTCTCTCGCTCCTCTCACTCTCTCTCTCACACTTCTCTCTCTCTCTCTCTCTCTCACTTTCTTTCTCTCTCTCACTTTCTCTCTCTCTCTCACTTTCTCTCTCTCCCTCTCTCTCTCTCACTTTCTCTCTCTCTCTCACTTTCTCTCTCTCTATCTCTCTCACTTTCTCTCTCTCTATCTCTCTCACTTTCTCTCTCTCTCTCACTTTCTCTCTCTCCCTCTCTCTCTATCACTTTCTCTCTCTCTATCTCTCTCACTTTCTCTCTCTCCCTCACTTTCTCTCTCCCTCACTTTCTCTCTCTCTCTCTCTCTCACTTTTTCTCTCTCCCTCACTTTTTCTCTCTCTCTCTCACTTTCTCTCTCTGTCTCTCCTCTCTCTCTCTCCCTCCATCTCTCTCTCTCCCTCTCTTTCTCTCCCCCCTCTCTTTCTCTCTCTCTCTCTCTCTCATTCTAAACAACACTTCATCATCTTTATCTTCTAATAAAGTCGATCTTCAGTATTTAAAACAGCTGTTCACCCAATCCAGGGAACATCTGAACATCTGGTTCAGAAGGCCGCTGTGTAATCCCACTGGATGATTCTATCACATCCTGAAGGGACTAATTGAAACACTACATGTCACTGATTGTAACAGCCCGTTAGAGGGGCTTTGTTTAGTTCTCACTGTGTCTTTACTTAGCAGCACGGTGAAGTTCTTTGTCTAAGCTGTGCTCTTTTTTTCAATGTGTAATTACACTGTTCAGCATGTATAGGGTTCCCCTGAAGTTAAACTGAGGCTTAGGTAAACAAGTAGTTTGGTAACCAACACCGCCCCCCCCCCCCTTCACATAGACACATGTACACAGTGACACACAGGCAGCAACAGCTGCAGGGGGTGGCCGTCCATAATGGCATAACTGTAGTGTCTGAGTGACACATTGCAGGCCTGATGGGTAACAGAGAGCCACCTATACATGACTCCAGACACCCGAGTCTCACACACACACACACACACACACACGCTGTCCCCACATCCACCTCAATCACACCCTCCTCCCCGCTCCCTTTGTCTCCCCCTCTGCTCCTTTCTGAGCGTCGGGTGTGAAACAGATGCTTTTTCACACTGTCAGACCTCATTTGAATAGTGCATGGGGAAATGAGGATATAGAAAACAAAAGGGATATTAATATTTATTCTATTAGCTGAAGTGCTTAGGTCTGTGATTTTCCCCGTGTGTGTGTGTGTGTGTGTGTGTGTGTGTGTGTGTGTGTGTGTGTGTGTGTGTGTGGTGTGTGTGTGTGTGTGTGTGTGTGTGTGTGTGTGTGTGTGTGTGTGTGTGTGTGTGGGGGGGGGGCGCTGTGCGGTGAGGCTCTGGTAGCTCTATGATGGATAGCAGGCAGTAATTATAGATGGGAAAACTGCTGAGGATCGCACTACGGGCCAGGCAGGCAGACACTCCAGCAGCTCAGGGGTTAAGTCTGCTCCTCGCCTCCATCCTCCTCCTCCTCTTCTTCTTCCTCGCAGACTTTCCACCATCCTGCCTCATCCTGGCTTTGTCTCACACTCAGCGGGTCTGTCTGTGCCTTCCTAAACGTCCCACTATTTCTTTACTTTGTAGCTTTATCTTTACCCCCGACACGTTTATCTGACCGTCAACTTTACAATTTAATCAAAGGCCTGCACAGGTGGTCTAGTGGTTAGTGTGCACGTCCCATGTACAGAGGCTCAGTTCTCGGGTTTGAATCTGACCTGCGGCTCATTCCCTACATGTCATGTCTTGACATCTTAAATTTTTAGCCTACCTTGCACTTGTCTGTCTTTATGCTTCTTCTCTGTGAGCCTTTGAAACCAAAAACACCACACAGATTCTTTTTTAGAGTTTGTGTCAATACAGGAGACCACTCTATAAACACTTCAGCTTTCTGTAGAAAACATTCAAACTAAAGAGTCATTGAGAGACTGCGTTTGTACGTCCTGTCATGCTGTAGCGGCGTACTCTAGAGCAGTCAGGTGTTTGTATGTCCTGTCATGCTGTAGCGGCGTACTCTAGAGCAGTCAGGTGTTTGTACGTCCTGTCATGCTGTAGCTGCGTACTCCAGAGCAGTCAGGTGTTTGTACGTCCTGTCATGCTGTAGCTGCGTACTCCAGAGCAGTCAGGTGTTTGTACGTCCTGTCATGCTGTAGCGGCGTACTCTAGAGCAGTCAGGTGTTTGTACGTCCTGTCATGCTGTAGCTGCGTACTCCAGAGCAGTCAGGTGTTTGTACGTCCTGTCATGCTGTAGCTGCGTACTCCAGAACAGCCCGGTGTTTGTACGTCCTGTCATGCTGTAGCTGCGTACTCTAGAACAGCCCGGTGTTTGTTCGTCCTGTCATGCTGTAGCTGCGTACTCCAGAGCAGTCAGGTGTTTGTACGTCCTGTCATGCTGTAGCTGCGTACTCCAGAGCAGTCAGGTGTTTGTACGTCCTGTCATGCTGTAGCTGCGTACTCTAGAACAGTCCGGTGTTTTAAAGATGTAGATATTTGACGTACAAAGTGTGAGCTAAGTTTTCTCGACTGATGATTTGAATCCTCCTCTTCCAGCGAGCAGACCTTTGATGCTCGAGGTCTGACCGGCTTTCTTTGATGCAGGACTTAAGTGGATCTGCAAACGAGCTGAGAAATAGTGTTGCTGTGAACTTTCATTTTCTTAATATTTAACCTCTCTATGTTAATAACGGAGCAAACGGGAGCTCCTTTGTCATTCTGCTCTACTTACTGTAAGTTACTTTAGACAAGAGTGTCGGCTCAATGCCCAACGTGTAAATGCATGTGATGTCCCTATTTTACTGTCTTTTCCCTCCACCCTCCCCCTCCCCCCCTCCCTCGCTCTCTTTCTTGCTTCTTTTGCTCATTCTCTCGGTCTCTTGGTAAATGTGCTGACTCCTCCTGGTTTTGGCCCAGCAGAGAGCTCTCTAATAGGCCCCAGAGACATCCCAGCATTCCTTAAATCAAGTGGAAAATTGTTAACTTGGTGTGGGATAAAGATGTTCTGTCCACTTTAGCTTTATCCGCTGCTCGCTCTCTCTTTCTGCACGTCTATCTTTTTATGAAAATGAGGATATATGATGGAGCAGAGGGGGAGTGTACTGAGCTTTTACAGTCAATTTCTCCCACACTTTCTTTTCCTCACACTGAAGCTGCTTCAGCCCTTTGTCTGCAGAACAGATCTCTAAGAGAAGAGTACTTAAAAAAAAAAAAAAAGGTAATAGCTGTGTTAAAGCAGGTCTTAAGTTTCAGATATCAATTTTTTTTAAATTATTTGTGGGATTTATTATTTAGAGACAGGACAGGAATCAGGGTCAAAGAGAGAGAGAGGGAGAATGACATGAGGCACCCCCTAACCACTAAGCCACCGTCGCCCCTTTTGAATATTTTTTATTAGAATCTTTACAAAAATTTAAAAATATCTTTTAGCTTAACTTACCCAAACAGAATAGTCAAATAAACTATCCATGAAGTGTGATGTCATGATTTAAGTTACTGGACCTGAGACTCAACGAGCTGCTCTCATTGGACGCTCCTGAGAGCGTGTTTAATGACTTGGAGGGCAGACACATCTGGCTGCAGATGTTCACCCTCGTATATTGATGGTTGTGGGCGATCAAAAAACTTGCTGTTTAAAAGTGTTGTCTTTTAATATTTTATAAAATGAGGCGTCTTGATTCTAAATGTGTGTGAGGCTGCTCGGTGTTTGTCAGAAACTCTGCTGCTGACGTTCTGCTGAGGACACTGTTGACAAAGAGATTTTAAATCCTAACAAGTTGTTTTCCTGGTTAAATATTTTTTTAAAACTCAGAGCAGAAAAAGTCTTGTGCCCTACGTTGACAACCGATGATGTTGTTGTTTCATAACAAATAAGACAAAGTTAAATGTGTCTGTACGATGTGGCTACAATTTGTTTTAGTAAAACACCTTGAAGATATTTTTCACTCACAGACACATTGAAAAAAAACTGAAGCGATTAAAAGGATAGAATAATTTGCAGCCCTGAAGTCGTGCATTGAGGCTCATAAGTGTAAAATAAAATTGATAAAACACAATGATAATAAAATGTTCTGGTGTATATGCAACTTCAGTTCTGATGTCAGGCACCAAATATAAAAACCAGCAGAGACGACTTCTGGAGTGAGATGTGGTGTGGAAACCGCAGGCCTATAAGACGATCCAGAGAAACATTTGACAGCGAGCTGACCCCGGGCACCCAGGGGTGCAAGAACACGGGTGTGAGGGGCGGTGAGAGGGGCACACTGATGGCAGCGAGTCAGGGGGGCGGGGCTCCAGAGAGAGTCGACCATAGCGTCCTGGAAAATCGATCTCCAGATCCTGCTTCCCTACACACACACACACACACACACACACACACACACACACAACACACACACACACACACACACACACTCTATTTCTGGCCCAGTCTGCTTCCCAGTCCCACACTCCTCACCCCTTCACACACACTCAGACACACACACTCAGACACACACACACACACTCAGACACACACACACACACACACACACTCAGACACACACTCAGACACACACACACACACACACCACACACACTCACACACACACTCACACACACACACACACACACACACACACACACACACACACACACACACACACTCCTCGTAGCCTGCAGTGAATATAATTAGCTTTTCTGACAGGTGGGAGGGATCGGATCTCGTGGAGAATGAAGCCACCAATTTACACCCGTATTACACTGTCATAGACACTCGGCTGCAAACATGCATGTGAAAGCTTCACTCTGTCATGCACAATGCTCTCCAGAATGACGCCAACCCTGACCCACTTGCGAGTGAAAGGAGACGGGGGAACGGAAAAAGTCGTAACCTACAAAAGATTGGATCAACAGAGCGACATATCAAATTCCTAATTAGCAGATTTCCTTCATTAGCTTACTGGAAGTCCCCCAGTTTGTGTGGTGAAATGAGTGGTGGACTAATGGAGACATAAAACTTTCCCCCTTGTTAAGGTTGTAAAAAAATGTACCTCAAGGCTTCCTGTAAAGGTTAAGAGCAGTTTGGCGCTTCAGAAGACATAAACACTGGATCCTGTCTCTGTCATCATGCGTCCTATCTGCTTATTCTATAACAGGCTGTGAACACTGGTTTGTTCTGCTCAAGCTGCTGTTAACCTCTGCAGGAACATACAGATGAGTGAGCTTCCTCCATGAGATGAGACAGGTGCTTTTTTGTTATCATGGATTCATTCAGATTTTATCAAAATATGAATCCATTTATCACCTGGGATGAGGAGAAACTCTCCTTCCTTTTGCTGAAGATGGATTGGTGCTCCTCATGTCAGAGGAAGAATCTCTGAATGGAAGTGTTTTAAGAGTGTTTAATCAACAGCTGTGCTATCTGTGCAAGTGCATGTTTGTTTGTTTGTTTGTTTTTTTTACCAATATTTGTATTTGCATTTTCATTTAGTAACACAATAACACACAAAAAATAAACAAACATATAGACATAACATTGACGGTATAAAAACAAAATAAAACAAAAAACAACAACAACATACAAAAAGGGAGACAGGACAGAACATAGACAAAAAAAATGTTTGTTTGTTTTAAGCTGAAGTTCTTTTGATCCTCAGTTCATCCCATATTCAGTCTGATGCAGTCTGTACCGTGTCTAAGCACACTTCACCCCTAAAGTCCAGTTTCGTTTGACCAGTGTGAGTGTTCTGATCTACACTTCCTCCTCGGCCCTGACACGCTTTGAAGAGGTGTTCTTCTGCACGGTACAGTTCATGCACGAGCTCAAGCACAAATACAAAACGATGACAGCCTTCATTCAGGAGAAATCTCAGAGTGTTCTGTCTGTATCTGACTAACATGACTCACAATAAGACACAAAGTCAGTAAAAGAGCTGAGTCTTGTTCCCTGTGTTGTTCTCTGATGTGCAGATGCAGATGCAGACATAATTCTGCAGGATTTAGTTTAAATCTTTTTTTAAATATTTTAGAATGAAATAGTTGAACTGTGACTCTCCCTGTCTGTTTGCATAACTTTATATCCTTATTGGTGCATCATAATACTAGATAATATTCCTGTTCACATAAAGGTTTTTTATTGGACAAACATTCTATTTCATGGAGAAAATACCTCATAATGGGGGTGTCTTTTAATTACCGACTAAAAGCTGAATGTTTGTGTTTCTACTTCTCTGTCTCTAACCTCCAGTGTAAGAAGAAACACACTCTGGTGTGTCCAGACTTCTCCAAGACGGGATCCTGTCCTCGAGGTGCGGGCTGTAAGCTTCAGCACCGCCAACGAGTCAAAAGAAGCCCCAGCACTGCCTCCACCTCCTCGACCAGGAGAGGCCGGACCAGGGAGCCCTCCAAGAGGTCGGCTCGAGCAATAGATTAACAATAAGAATGTTAGTTACTTATAGATCTTCCTTAAATGTCTTCTTTAATGTGTCCTCTCTCTCCTAGGCCTCGTCTGACAGTCGTCATGCCGCAGGACTCTCAGACAGAACCGGGGACCCCCCAAAAGGGTTCTCTGGAGCTGCCGTCCTTCATCTCCCTCTCCAGCTCCCCAGAGGAGGCAGACGCACCAGACACGCCGACGGCTGAGACCTCACAGGTTAAAGGTATGAACAAAAGATTTAACCAACAAGACAAGAGCTCCTGAGAGTGTCGCACAGTTTACACAGAACGATATGAGAAAACCAGGAGAGCATCCAGCAGAAACAGTGACCGGGGAAATGTTCATTATTTAGTTTTCAGGTCAAAAAGATTTCAGAAAGTTGGTTAGAAAATGTGCTAAATTAATTACCTTGAGGGAGTGGCAGAGGGGTGCATGTGAGAACAACCTGATCAGGATTTCAGGTGCAGTCCTCCTAGGAGTGCATATGTGACAACGTCTTTATTGTCTGAGTTCTTTAAATGATGTCATTACTGATCTCCGCATCTCTAGTTTCCTCCATAGCTTATTGTTTAAAGTTGATTGGATCCATAAAAAAAAACAGGGAATATAACATCCAGACTGTGAACAAATCTAATGTTCTTTAAGAGGACTTAACGGGGCTTTACTGAGCGTAAAAGTGCTGACTGTCTGACGACATATTGTCCAGAGATGTGTTGTTGGAGGATCACGTTTGTCCTGAAAGCCTCCGGATCATTCCCGAGTCCATGAGAGAGAGGGGGGAGGGGGAGGGGGGGGGGAGCTGCAGACAGATAATGATGATCAGACCGGGGGGGCTGTACAGTTAGTGTGATGGGGCTCAGGGGAGGAGTAATAATGCTCAGAGGACAGAGGTAATAATATTTAGGTTTGGGGCTGGATGGAGGCACAGCTGAGCTCTCTGTTGACAGACTTGACAGATAGAGGATTAGTGGAGAGAGGATGCCTTCCCCCTCTCAGACCTCCTCCTCCCCCCATGAGGCTCCACCATCCACCTGCCTTTGCCTGCTACACACACACACACACACACAACACACACACACACACACACACACGTTTGACCACTTTCACTTGTGTCCCAGATGTTTAAACACAGAGCACATTACTGAACATGTTCTGACTTTTTTTTTTTTGGCAGTAATCATTTATTTTGGTCACAAGAAAAAACAAAACAAAATTTGAAATTCCAAGAATTTCTTTCAAAACAAATGAAACAAAGAAAAAACAAAAGACAACTGGACTTCTCTCCTTTCATAATTTAAAACAGTTTATATTTTCCTTTTAAGAGCTTAAGATTTTTTTTGAATGGTCTTCTCCTTAGAGAGACAGCACAAGGTAACAAGGTAA